GGAAAGAGTATTTAACAAAGACAATATGACAGAAAGAAAAAACTAAAGGTTAGTGTATGTGATTTTAAAAGATAAGATTGGCCCTCATGTTAAACCTGGCATTTCAGAACTGGAAATGTCTTTCATTAAATACTGAAAAGAGGTTGTGGGGGAATATGAACAGTTACCTACTTGTATGCTTCTTCTCTCCCTGCAACTTTGCCAAGCTTTGCTATCCCTCAGTTTTTTTAAGTTCCTCCCTCCCTCGTTATATAAATAAGTTATTATAAAGCTTCCTTAGAGGGTAATCAGGCAATATGTATTAAATTTTTGAAGGTTTATACCCTTAATTCCACTTCTGGATAGTATTCCACTTTGGACATTTATTTAAAAAAAATAAAGATGTGGATGTGCAAAGATTCAGATACAAATACTCATGGCAGTATTATAATTGAGAAAATAGCAACCATCCTAATATCCGTGATACATCCATACAGTGGAGATTGATGCATGCAGCAATTAATGGCTTTTTAAAAGGATTAATGATATGTTGAATTAAAAAGAGTTCACATATACCATACGATAGTTCAGTTCATTAAAATTAAATTCAAGAAACCATTTTTGAGTTGCCTTACATGCCATATTAGGTGGTGGGAAACAATAAGATTGCGTTCTTGTCGTCAAAGAATTTAGTGTCTACAGGTAAAATAAAATCAAAAGAATAATTATAAAACAATTTAAAGTATAGTAATTATGTGATTTACAATAGGAACCAAAGAGTGAGCAAGTAGATGAAGTTCACAGAACAGACTAATATGATATAATTAAGTTTATGATTTTTAAAAGGGGATTATGGGCGAGTCTTTTATATATTTCAGTTACTTAATATGTTTCTACAGGGATATACACCTTTAAAATTAACAAAGTCAGTAAGATATTTCTTTTCTGAACTAAGCAAAGTGAATCTAAAATGTAAGTTAGAGATGCTAAAGAAGAAATCTAGGAAGTGATGCTTTTCTTTGCAATATTGCACTAAGTACCTGTGATTCTTGGTAGTGAAAGAATTGTCAAAAATCATTGTGTGAATTTTCACAATATTCAGTGATAAACTGACTCTAGATATTTTTTCAAGTCAATAGTTGTCTGCTGTGTGTTCCGCAAGGGATTTATAGAATGAGAGATCCAGAAGTATTATATTTATGGAGCTTTCAGTTAAGTATGAAAGTTAGGTGAATAACTAGGCCTTGGCAGAGGCTTAGAATTTGGATTTATATAAGAGGTTAGGTTGGGACATGACTTGGGTAAGGCAACAGCAGGGGTAGAAATGAGCTTGATATATGGGAAAGGTAATGAAGACATCAGTATGCTTTGAAGTTGGCTCAAGGGTGTAGAGCTGAGAAAGTAATAAAAGCTTAGGCTGAGTCTAGGTAAGGTGGGACTGATTGATGTGTTACTCTGAATAGCATGCTGAGGTCAGATTTGTTCCTATACTACAAGAGGACTATCAGACTCTTAAAATAGGGGCAGTTTAAAATACTGTTTTCAGATTGATCTTTTTTGAGGTATATTTAATATCTTAAACGTTTTGATCCTAGTCTGGGAAGCTACAGATGAGAGCTAACCAGATGAATTCCATAGCTCTGTAGAGATGAAATATTGTAAAATTGTTTTCCCAAATGTTTATATAGATTGTCACCATGTGTCTTATAATTAATGTGCTTTTATTATAAGGCTGTAGAAATACAGCATTTTGTTACTAGTCCAGGAGAAAACACAGTAGTAAAACCAAAATAAAGAATCCAGAAGTAAACCCAAATATTTACATGGAGGGATTAAATACATATATGATAAACATGACATTTCAGAATCAGTGGGGAAAGACATTATTCTACAAATGGTGTTAGGGGGACTGATTAATAATTTAATATTTTAAAAAACCCTCAGATTCCCTACCTTACTACTTATTTCAAAATAATTCTAAGTGGATCAAAGATTTAAGCAAAAAACCCACAGAAAGAATAAGCATAAAGGGAATAATTAAAATTGAAAAACACCAAATTGGAAAAGTATTTGCAACACATGTAAAAAAATTAATTTTTTTTATTTATTTGGGGAGAAAAATAGTAAAATACACATTTTCATCTACCAGATTTTCAAATATTAAAGGTTCAGTAATGCTTAGTTTGGTCAGAGTGTAGGAAAACAGGTACTCTGTGTAAGTGGATGGTGAAAAAAAATGAGCTCAGCCATTTGTAGAGCAGTCGTGTCTAGGAGTCATGTTCATTACTTTTGTAAGAGAACTTTACAATGAAAAGTGTTGTGTTGATAATTATAGGCGAAGTTACAAGAGTCCATTGAATATGAAGACTTGGGAAAAAATAATTCCATAAAAACAATTGCACTAAACCTCAAGAAGTCAGATAGGTAAGTTTGGTGACTAATATTAAATTAACTTGAGACAGGATAGTTTTATATTACAAGTCATTGCAGAATATATTCTGCAAGTATAGAACTCAAGTTTTAATTAGTTTGTTACCATAAAATACAGTGTCTTATTTCCTTAAAAATTTACTTTGTGCATCTCAGGAAAGGATCCTAAATGATGGAAGCGAAGAAAGTAAATTTTGGCTATCTGTGCTGTTTTCTTCCTGTTGCCCTTACAGGAATTAATTTATTTTATTGAAATATCTTTAACTCTTTACTTTGGGGAGAATGTTATCTTGAGACTGCTAGAATATTTGAAAGACAAATGTTGAGCACCTTTATTCTGTGTGATTAGTAATTTCTTCTTTGCTAATCTTCAGGTACTATCATGGTCCAACTCCAATCCAGTCACTACAGTATGCAACAAGTCAGGACATTATTAATTCTTTTCAAAGTATTAGACAAGAAATGGAAGCTTATACACCCAAATTAACTCAGGTAGGTGACTAGTACTGTTTGAAAAACAGAATTCCCATTCTGTTTTCTCAGTTTATGAGCACATTCACATTGAACTGTAAAACTAATACTTTAATGGCATTTAAAGACATATTTCTGCTTAATAAATTGAAAAAGTCAGAGGTAGAGAAAAGAGGTATTTGGCATACCTGAAGGTAAGATGATGATGAAAAGTAAGATAATGAGTTTTGTGATTGCTGATTTTTTCTTCCATATACACAGTTTTATTGGAAAAATCTCCCAGATTTCCCCAAATTTCTGGACATCACTCTCTAGATATTCTTTATTTTTCCCTGCCCTTATACATACTTGAGTGGATCAGCAAGTTCTGTCAGTTCAGTATTTCTTGACTCCATTACCTTGACTTAGGCAAACCTGACTGGTTTTCTACATTGCCACTGCAAGTTATCTTGCTAAAAACATGATTCTGATCACATCACTCTGCAGCTCAAAAACCTTTACTGCCTCCCTTTGCTTTGTTCCCACAGTAATTGTCTGGATGTCCTTGTCTGACATGCCAAACTCTGTAATCTGGCTGTAACCCACATCTCCAGTCCCTGCTCCAGCCATGTCTCCACCGTTCCCTTCCCCACTTAACCAAGAGTCCTATACTCGAACCTAACACACTATAAACTACCCAGAGTTTTTTAATCGTGTCATCCTCATGCTTCCTGTACTTTTGCTCATGCTTTCTCTCTTCTTAGAATGCCCTTTGCCTGTGTCTGGGGAACTAATAATAATAATTCAAGACAGCTCAAATTCCATTGCCTCTGTAAAGCAATCCTCAGTGTGCCCAGTAATGAGTTATTTTTTCTCTTTTCTTTGTTTTCATAAACACTGAGACACTGAATTCATACTGTATTGTAGTGGTTAGCACATATTGGCACTTATTTTTGCTTTTTATTTTGAAATAATCTCAGATTTACAAAAAGTTGCAAAAGTTTTCTGACCCATTTTGAGAGTAGATCCCTTTACAGCTAAATATTTCAGTCCATATTTCCTAAAACAAGACATTCTCATAAATAACACAGTATGGTTATAGAAACAATAATTCAACATTGATAAAGTATTATTATCTAACCTGTAGGTCTTAACAAAAATTTCACCAATTGTACCACTAATGTCCCTATAGTAAAAGAAAACCTTTATTTTTGGTCCAGCCTCCCAAGTCAGGTGCGTGAATTGCATTCAGTTCTCATGTCTGTTTAGTCTCCTTTAAAATGGAATCGTTTTTCAATCTTTGTCTTTCATGACCTTGGTGTTCGAAGAGTACAAGCCAGTTTTTTGTAGAATGCCCTCACTTTCAGTTTCTCTGTTTTCTCATGAGTGTATTTCATGTCATGCATTTTTGGCAAAAATACCACCAGAATGATGTGTAAGTGATATGTCGTCCTTTATGCATCATATCAGGAAGCACGTATGTATTTGTCCTAACTTGCAGCATTAACGTTTGATCACTTGGTTAAGGCACTGTCTACCTGGTTTCTCCACCAGAAACTTACTATTTTTCCCTTTATAACTAATAAGTATCTTGTGGGGAGACACTAAATTTTTTATTTACCATCTAACTTTTACCCACTAGCATTTTAGAATCTGTTGACAATTGCTGAAAACAGTTATTGCCATGGTGGTGGTTAAATGGTGATTTTTTAATTCTGTCCTCCCATCAGTTGACCTTCTGAGCTTCCCTTCCTGTCTCCTGTATTTATTTATTTATATTTATTTATTTATAAGCATGGATTTTTATATTATTCTATGGGTTATAAATTGTTGCTATCAGTTTTTTCTTTTTTTAAACTAAGGTATAACTTACCTACAGTAAAATATACCTTTTCAGGCTATTCCTTGATTTTCAGTGTGCATGTACAGTTGTGTAATCACCAACACGATAAAAAACAGTTTTGTCAACCCCAAAAATGTACCCTTGCCCCTTTGTAGTCAGATGCTTTACATGCCATTTACACTGGCTCCGGTATCTTTCTGACAATATCTTCATCAATTTTTGAGCACCTCCTTACTTTATGGCACGATGAGATAGATGTTCCAAATTCATCTTATCCTTTCCCTGCCCAGCCACAGAATCTTCCTTTAAGTGTTTAGATTTAGAAACAAAGATGTGAGTACTAGGTGTACTCATTACTGTTGGGATGTCATTTGCTACTGGTTTCATTGTCCCCTTAGTGGACAGAGCAAGGAAATACGTGTTGTACATACTTAGGCTCACGTAACAATGTGGGATTGTTTGACTGCATCTTTCCTTCTAGACTATACTTGTGCAATATCTGGCCCTTGGGCCAAAGTAGGTCCACCTAACTTTTTTAAGCTGTGGTCAGTCTTAAATATTTAGATTCTTCCGCACACCCCTAAAAAAGTGATTTCATTATCTGAGACACACGAAGAGGTTATCTGCCCTCGGATGTGTATACCTGTGTAGCCAGTGACTAGTCGGCAAGCTCAGCATTCACTGAAACTTCTGGTTACAATGTGTTATAACATTTCTAACAAAAGGAAATAGGAATAAAGTGAACGTTCATGTCCCCTTGACTCATAGTTGTCCTATAATGTGCTTTTCACACCAAGTTAAATATTTTTTTCATCCAGCCCATACACACATAGGTTTCTACTTGTAAAAACTCCACTGAGACACACTAAACCTGTGCTTGAGCCATTCAGCAAATGATTTGTTCCTCTCCATGGCTAGCCCTTGGTACTTGTTAGGCACTCAATGAAGAGATAGATCAGTTATGTCCCTAAATGTTGATATGGATACAGTGGGGAATGTGGCGTTTTTTCCCCTTTTGGCTAGGTGTATTCACTTCTTGAAAAGTGACAAATGATATATTTCTACTTTGCTGGATTTTCTTATGTCAGCTGGCAGTAAGGATTTAACATTTGTTTTATTGTCTTTTTTTTCTTTCCTTAAACTCAGTTTTACCTTAGCACTCTTACCTTCAGTGCTAAGAGTTCATAAGTTAAGTTGGTACTTAAGTAAGGCCTTGGCTAAGACAGAGAAAGACAAATATTACATGATATCACTTCTATGTAGAATCTAAAAAATAGTACAGGGACTTCCCTGGTGGCACAGTGGTTAAGAATCCACCTGCCAATGCAGGGGACACGTGTTCGAGCCCTGGTCCAGGAAGATCCCACATGCCGTGGAGCAACTAAGCCCATGGGCCACAACTGATAAGCCTGCGTGCCACAACTCCTGAAGCCCATGCACCTAGAGCCCATGCTCCGCAACAAGAGAAACCACTGCAATGAGAAGCACGTGCACAGCAACGAAGAGTAGCCCCCACTCACGGCAACTAGAGAAAGCCCGCATGCAGCAACGAAGACCCAACACAGCCATAAATAAATAAATAGATAGATAAATAACTCACTCCCAATCTTTAAAAAAAAAAATAGTACTAGTGAACTTATTTACAAAACAAACAGACTCACAGACATAGAAAACAAACTTATGGTTACCAAAGGAGAAGGAGGGGTGGTGGGCAGGGATAAATTGGGAGTATGGGATTAACAGATGCACACTACCATATAGAAAATAGATAAACAATAAGAATTTACTGCACAGGGAGCTATATTCAGTATCTTGTGATAAACTATAATGGAAAAGAATCAAAAAAAGAATACAGATATATACATATACATGTGTAACTGAATCACTTTGCTGTACACCTGAGACTAGCACAATATTGTAAACTATACTTTAAAAAAGCCAGGGGGGCTTGACTAGACAAAAGCGTGTGTATTTTGAGGTACCTGTGGACTTGCCTGGTATCCCTGGAAGATTGGTAGGTATTCTCTTTCTACACATACTGTGTTTCTAGCCTCATGGAAAGTGGTTCACTCTGGTTGCTGTAACTTATGTATTTATGCAGGAATGAAGACTTATTGGACATTTTGCTATAGAACTGAAATGTTAAGTTAAAAAGATGGCCAAAAAAGAGAGAAACCACTTTTTTGTCTTAATTTCTTTCAGGTTCTCTCAAGCAGTGCTGCCAGTAGTACCATCACAGCACTGTCACCTGGAGGAGCACTGATGCAGGGAGGGACACAGCAAGCCATAAACCGTATGTGCTGGACCTCCTGTTGCTGTCCCTTTACCTAAATAACCTCAGAAGAGCAATTTGAGAAGAGTGCTAAGTTTTATTGGTTTCTTTTTGGGACATTTCTGGGATTTTTGTTTTGTTTTTATGCATCCAGATCCTAAAGTATATTTAGACGAGTTTATGTTTCAGTATTGTTTTAATATTACAAACAGTGGCACATTGCTGTGTCACACTAGTAATGTGTGACATTGCTAGTCACACATTTTTTTTCCTCTCCTACCTCTTAAAGCAAAACCTGAAAATTCCTCCAAAACCCCAAGGAAATTTAAATTCTGTGGTCTGTCGGCCACAAAATCAGTAACTTGTCTCAGAATAGCACATCCTGGTTTAGTATTGGTAGAGTGCGCATTCAGATTTATTCTCTGAGTTGTCATTCTTTCAGAGACCACACACGGGGGAAAATAGCTTTTATCCTATGGACCACTTTTTCTTTTGCAGAGATGGTGCCAAATGATATTCAGTCTGAATTGAAACACCTGTATGTGGCTGTTGGGGAACTTCTACGGCACTTCTGGTCCTGCTTTCCCGTTAATACGCCATTCCTAGAAGAAAAGGTCAGAACCGATTCCAAACACAGCCAGCTGTTGTAGTAGTGTAACTTAGTGAAGTGTTATCTTGAAGTTGGAAAATTGTATTGAATGTTTACCATGTGCCAAACACTATTTTGCATATATTGTTTCATTTAAGCCTTACAGCATCCTGATGGAGTAGGTATTGACACCCATTTTGTATACAAAGAAACTTGAGATCCAGACCAGTTCCGTAACTTATAATCGTGCATCTTAAAAGTTAACTGAATCACTTTGCTATGCACCAGAAACTAACACAACATTGTAAATCAACTATAATTCAATTTTTTTAAAAAGTAGTAATAGCTTTACTATATATATTGCTCTTATAAACAATCTTCAAGAGAAAGATAAATACCCCATTTAAAATAATAGGCAAAACATTTTTAACAGGCGATTCACTAAAGAATGCAAGTGGCCCAGTGAACCTAAGAGGAAATTTTCATACTCAGTATTCAAATAAATTATCTTTAAAGCTACATAAAAAGTGCATTTTTCATCTATAATTTGTAAAAGGATAAAAAACTTAGAATGATCAGTGATGCAAGTTGCTACGTAGAGAGTCCTTTCCTCCACTACAAGTACTACCTTTTTAAAACACGCTTTGACCCAGAAATTCAACATTTAGAAACTTAACCTAAGGAAATAATTAAGAATGAATGTATGCCAATATTGAGCCATAGAGATGTTTCTCTACCACTATCTGTGTAGAAATGGTCTAAATATCTACCAGAAGGGGATTGCTTAAAGATACATCCATTTTAAATGATGACTTAGTATTTAATGACTTAAAGATGTTCCTGTTAAACCAAGTGGAATTTTAAAACAGTGTATACTGTATATTTTCTACATATGCATTTATACGCATGCACAAAAAACATCAGGAAGGATATGAATTATAAACCAAAAGAATCTAAGTATATTCGATATTGCTTCTCTGCCTGGTGGAGCCAGTTAATCTTAAAAAAAAAAGAAGAAAAAGAAACCTTATGTGTTTTTCTCTTGATCCCTGTAGGTAAGTCTGTAATTCATTATTTCTCTCATCTATTTTTAGGTAGTGAAAATGAAAAGTAATTTGGAACGATTCCAAGTTACAAAACTCTGCCCATTCCAAGAAAAAATTCGGAGACAGTATTTAAGCACAAATGTAAGGCAACAATTTAATTTTGGCCTAATATTTTTCTCTGTGTAGTAAAATGATGAAATTTGCTTTGTTTTCCTGTAAATGAGTATATATGTTGGCTTTTTTCTGTTGCTGGGAATACTGGGGGTTTTTTTTTTTTTTTTAAGGCTGCTTTTTTTTTTTTTTTTTTTAAGAGCATTTATTTATTTTATTTTTGGCAGCATCAGGTCTTAGTTGCAGCACGCAGGATCTTCGTTGAGGCATGCGGGATCTTTCGTTGCGGCACCGCGGGCTCTTCCTTGCGGTGCATGGGATTCTCTCTAGTGGTGGTGCGTGGGCTCTGTAGTTGCGGCACACAGGCTTAGTTCCCCGGTGGCATGTGGGATCTTAGTTCCCTGACCCTGGATCAAACCTGTGTCCCCTGCATTGTAAGGCGGATTCTTTACCACTGGACCACGAGGGAAGTCCCAGGAATACTGTTTTTTAATTGTAAAATGTATCATACATTCAGAAGTGTATAAAATACATTTGCTTTTTTAAATAGTGAAACAAATATCTGTGTACCCACCAGTCATGGTAAAAATAGAACCAGTACCCTGAGTGTCCCTGTCCCACTCTCTCAAGGCCATGACTAACCAGGATTTGTAATAATCACCTCCATGCTTTTCTTTATAGATTTACAACCTATATGTATGTTCCTAAAGGTATTTATTTTGAAAACCTGAGTAGCAAGTACAAATGTAGCAATGCAGAGAAAGGTAGAATTGCCATTCTATGAAAGTAAGCTGAACAGTTCCTGGATTATGGTCTGCCTTCAGCTTCCCTGGTTGACAGCAGGGCATGGCAGTGGGTAAGGCAGTGAGAAGTGTCACCTTATGCCCAGGATTTTTAGCGTTGATTTTAATGCAAGGCTAGAGCAACCACACAAGATTGTTTCTCTACGTGTTAATGCAAGTCTTCTCAGAGGCGACAGGGGAAAAAGTAGTATGTACAAACTTAGAGTTCAGTGTTTCAGTAAGTAGGATAATCAAAACAAGTTTTACAGTTGAAAGTTGAAAAATCTTCATCAGTAATATTTTTAGTAAGTTTTTATTCCCTAAACATTCTAAGTGGTTTTTCTTAAAATGTAACAATGTTATTTATAATCAGAAAAGAAGTTTGAAGTGTCTTCCCACAGCAGAGCAAGGGTGACAAGTAGATTTCAGTTTATGTGCCCTCTCAATTGACTGTCACTGCCTGGAGCACTATAGTCAAAAGGATTCTGAGGCCATGTGCAGCCTTACAGGAGGCTGTGGCGTTCATCTCTTCTAACTGGTTCTGTGGAGCCACTGCAGCCTATGGAGCAGTGTAGTTCCCAGACAAGTAAATAACATAACACTCCCCCTTGTGCACGTGTGTGTGCGCGCGCGCGCGCGCGCGCGCGCACACACACACACACACACACACACACACACACTGATAACAGGTGTGGTAAATAAGAGTTTATTTTGTTTTTAACTACCTCAGATTGAATCTAAGTTATTGGCATGCTACAAGGATTTAGGACTTCCTGGTCTCTGTCCCCATACTGCCAAAATTGACTTGCAGACTTTTTATAAGACTTTTACTTCCAACCATGTAAATTACACTGTCCACTTCCAAGGAAACAGATAATCCAAAGACACTCTGCCTTAGGAGTCTTTATCAGCTTAAATCAGTGTGGTCCTGTTGACTTCTAGTTATGTCTGTGACGAGGGTAAAAATTTTTTTCTGCTCAAGATACGTAGTCCTTACCTAAGGCATGACATAATACTTGTGTGAAGCTTTGAGACCATTTAGCTTTTTCTGTAATCTGCTGAGTTACATTGAAATCCTGAAGTGTTAGACCTGGAAAAGACCCTAGAGAACATAGAAAAGTGCTTCACAAGGTTGCCTGTGCAGCAGAATTAAGTGGAGGAGCTTTTGAAAATCAAAAGATTCCTGGGTCTCATCCCAGACCCGCTGCCTCAGAATCTTCAGGGGAGTGGGGCATTTTTCAAATTTTCTCTATTAGTGTTGATGCTACCCTCATGATCTTAGTCAAGAGACTAATGTTTATATCTAGAAATCACCAGTTTAGTTCACCTTTCTCATTTGACAAAATAAACAAAAGCCTAGAACCCAGGATTTCATGTTGTCCTGTGGCTGGTTAATGACAGGGCAGACATACAGTGCAGGCAAAGCAGGTGAATTTCCAGCCTCTACTATACCCCACCATCCCTCTTACCTTTCTATACAAAATGTGTCTGATAACACCTTCACAGAGGGCTTGCATGTTGCCTCATTGGAGAAACAAAAAAGAGCTTGGGAACAGCACTGAAGTACGTGCCAGATCTGGATCAGAAGCAGTAACTTCCCCAGCCTTTACCATTGTTGCCTAAGTGTCTTGCTGTGTTTTTCAGTTGGTAAGTCACATAGAGGAGATGCTCCAGACAGCTTACAACAAGCTCCACACGTGGCAGTCACGGCGTCTGATGAAGAAAACGTGAAGTGTCCGTGGCTCTCACAGGTTCTGTGAGACTGAGAGAACTGTGACCTGCAGTGACTCTGGAAACCTGGCCTGTCAGACATGCAGGTTATCACACAGAAGTGACAAGAAACATCTGTACCATGGCGACTTGGAGCTGATGCTATTGTACTTGCACATTGAGAACTGAAAAGAAGGGAACTATGATTAAACTAAAAGCTAGGGAGGTAAATTAAGGCAGAACCAAAATGAGCTAAGTTGCAAATATATATATATATATATTTTAAAAAGACACTGTTTACAGCAGTTACTCAGGAACTGCTTTTGATTCACATTAAGCTGCTTTCAGGAATCTAAAAAAAAAAAAAAACTTTTTAAAAGGGTGCATTGATAAAATCTGAGGATTTTTGGTTTTGTTTTGTTATTGTGTAAATTTTTTTCCCTAAGTTTATGGCACAGGGTACACCTTAAGTATTTCTCCTCCATCTTCCACTTGGATCCTCAAGTTTTGCTGAATTCTAGTTGTACCTTACATCAGCAAGTTAAAGAGAGTACTTTAAAATAAAGCAGAGGGAGACTGTTGCTCAGCCATCCAGGAACAGTTGTAGTCAGAAGACATCATTGGTCCTGTGTTTCCTACGGAAATAAGAAACAATAAATATTGCACTGAATGTTTGTGGTTTGGAGTCCCTAAAAGATAAAGAGGGGATATATTTGCAGAAAGTCGTGTGGGGTTTTTATGCAGAATTTTGTCAGAGGACAATGCGCTGCATGTTTTTCTTTGAGTGCAAATGTACATTGCTAAGATTTTTTTTAAGATGGCATGTGCTTTGAAAAGAAATTGCATTTTTAAGAATTTAAAAATCTTATGAGTGAGAGATATAAGAAATCTTACTTATTTTCACCTCTTTAGAAAAAATAAAAGATGTTTCTCATATCTCTTTTTCTCTAGTATCTGACTGTTACGGTCCTTGGCGAATTGATAATCATTGCATAGTGACTGCAAAGCCTAAATGCAAAAAAAAAAAAGATATGTTCTTGTTTTTGGAATCTGTGCCATATTTTGTTCCTGATAGTATCAACTCACCGTTTATCTAAGACTTTAGATGTCTTATATTAAAAATTACAGAAAAAAGTAAAACTTTTTATAGATACTCTTTTAACTGACACATCTTGTGGATTCTCCTTATGTGTGGTGCTTACTTGGGTGGGCTGCTCGAGGGCTACTCATTATTTTTTTAAGCCATTATACAAGCTGCTTATCTTTCATAAAATGGCTACAACAGTTTTTCAGCCTGTTCAGACTTTGAACCAGTAAAAGGAAAGAAGCAACATCATTCTTCTGCTTCAGCCGTCCCATTTCTCCTTCAGATCAGTTTAGTAATGGTGTGTTACACTTCACAGTTTTACAAAGTGCATTTCAAATGAATTATCACAACTACTCTATAAGCAATAGCAATCGAGCAGGTAGAAAAATGTTTGAAATAGAAGAAAGAGTATGTCTGTTGGGAAAGGCAGACGTAAAGAAATAAAATGCTCTGTTGAGTGCTCTGTTAATCTTAAGTGATAAATATAATGGAACCTGAAGGAAGAAACCGTTGGGAGAATTGGGTAGGCTTCACTAAAGAAGTAACATTTTAGCTAAGCCTTGAAGGTTGAACATGGAAGTGCATGATGAAGATGTGAAGACTTTGAAAGATCCCCACACACACACACACGTGTTGGGACAAGAGTGTTGGATTGGAGAGTTGGAAGTGAAGAGGCTGGGAAAAGCAGTTTAATTCCGGTTTCAAATGGCTTTGTAAGGCCAAGGTAAGAAATTCAGACCTTACCCATTAGTCACGGGGGACCTTGGAGAAAATTTTAAGCACATGAGTTGTTTTTCTGAGGGTATTTTGCTTGTTCTGTTTGTTTTGTTGGATTAAAAGTCCAGCAGTTGGGGATGCCAAAACCTAGAAGGCTTTGGAACAATCCAGACTGGAAACTAGGTCCAAATTAAAGTGGAATTCTGGTAAAGTAGAAGAGGGAACTGAATAAAGACTCGTTACAGTGTATGATTAAGTCTCGTAAGGAATGAAGGACTTAAGGGAGATTTCACCAGAGGTAGCTCTCACTTTCAAGTCCAGTTTACATTTGAAATATTTGATCCTTGGAGTCCTTTCAAAATGAACTTTGGCAGCTGTTTAGACCTACTATGGCCCCACCTTCACATTGTGGAAAATGATAGCAGCCGCTGGTGATTGAGAGCTGCGATAAACCAGTACTGTTCCTAGCACCTTTAAAAATGGTTTTGATGTTAAGTAATTTACCCCAGTAAGTGTCAGAGCTTACTCTAAACTGCTAAGCTTCTGCAGTCACTGAGATGGGACAAGATGCTTGTGAAGTTGGAAGCTTTTATTCCCCAGCCCAGGCTTCCACTGCATAGTTTTTCCTTTGACTGCCCCGTCAGTCATTCCTGCCTCCAATTCTATTCTGTACTTCTTTTACGGCAAATCCCATTATGGGGTTATTCTGCCTAGTGGGTCCCATTAGCTCAAAGGGCTGCAAAATACAATAGTATAGTGAAAGCATGCCATGCCTTAGGAGAATGAGTTTCTGGAAAAACATAAAATCAGTAGTGCTAGTCTACTTTGGACTTAACAGTGCAAAATGAGTAGGATACTTTGTGACATCTGCTTCAGTCTGGAAAGCAAGATTGCTTAAACACCTGTAACTTAGGAGGGTAAGCCACTCATCCAGGCTGAGGGTTTAATCCAGAAAGTGATTTCCTATTGGTGCATATATCATCTGGAGCCAACAGTGGCCCTGGTATGGAAAGCTGCCCGTTTTAAACTTAGATTTGCTATTTCCGGTGTCAGAACTTGCATGGGAGTCCTCAGTGCATTACCTCTGCCCTTTCCCAATTTAGCTTCTTCAAGACTCAGCTGTTTTCCCAGTTCCTGAGGCCAGGGGAGTCTTAATTATTTTCAGCTCTTAAACTGTCCAGAGCTGGAGCATTGCCTAGAACCTGGTTCAGGGATGACCAGCCTTAGTTTGTAGTCCATAGCCTCGATTGGGTGTGTATTTAAGTCACAGAAAAGACTTTGGAATTCAAACTTTGTAACCACAGAGCTCTGTTTTCATAGTCTTTTGCAGAATCCCTAATATTTATGATAAACATGGAATTATACCTGTGGAGAGGTGGAGCCAGCGATCCATCTCTTTCCACTCCCCCTAACAAAACAGCATGAAAAACCTACACCCTCTCTGGCCATCTGGTAACCTGCTGTGTTGGGATGAATGATAACAAAAGTGGGCCGAAGAGTTCCCTGGCAGTCCAGTGGTTAAGAGTTGGTGCTTTCGCTGCTGTGGGCCCGGGTTTGATCCTTGGTCAGGGAACTAAGCTCCCACAAGCTGTGTGCGCGGCCAATAAATAAAAGTGAATTCTCTTTAAAAAGGAAAGTAGGCTGAGGTTGAAGCATAAGATAAACTGGCTTGAATTTATTTATTTATTTATTTGCTTATTGGCCGCACAGCACGGCATGCCAGATCTTAGTTCCCCGGCCAGGGATTGAACCTGCATCCCCACTGGACTGCCAGGGAAGTCCCTAAACTGGCTTAAATTTAAAATTTTACTCATCTGTAGTCATAGAAATAAGTAGCAAGATGGTAGACTTAAACCCAACTTACTAGCAATTAAAACAGACTGAACACTCTAAAGACAAAGATTGTCAGATTGGATTGAAAAACAAGACTCAACTACATGTTAGTTATAATCACAGAAAAGTCTATACTTACCTCACTGGATTTGCCCTCCCCTCATGTCAAATTCAGGTTCACTAGGTATTAGAATTCAAAGACCTTTATTACTCAAATTTATATCTTTCTGGTTCGAGGACCTAAGTGGTGAACAGAGCAGTGAAAAAGGAATGACAAATACAAAATCACTGACCATTAATGTCCATTTTTAAAATTATTACAAAAGTATAATATTTTTAAGGTTTGAATAGTACTGATATATATAAAACAATAGAAGATGTTTCTGTATCCTTACCCCCAAATCTCATTCTCTTGAGGTAGTGCTTAGTGTATTTTCTCCTGGACATTTTTCTATGTGCTTAAAATTATTTTTCTAACATACAATCTAAGATTTTTCTAGCAAAGAAACACCTGTGTACACATTTATACCCTTTAAGATAAGCCCTGACAATGGGGCTCTTCTCCATAGAGAACCCATTCATGGTCCCATTTCTGTAAGCTAAGTTTTTGTGAATTTTGATCTTATCCATTAGTGTGCTTCTGGCACCTGGTTATCCATAGGAACAGGCTATGTCTGGCCTGAATGCAAAAAGTCCTTGGAATTTTACTTGCACAATCGGATTCTTATCACCCGAGAACATTCAGACCCACAGATATAAAAAGTAGAGAAAAAGTAGTGTTATAACAGGCCCTCCCAGAAATTTTTTTTTTTTTTTTTTTTTTTTTTTTTCTTGCATTATGCGGCCCTCTCACTGTTGTGGCCTCTCCCATTTGCGGAGCACAGGCTCCGGACGCGCAGGCTCAGCGGCCATGGCTCACGGGCCCAGCCGCTCCGCGGCATGTGGGATCTTCCCGAAACGGGGCACGAACCCGCGTCTCCTGCATCGGCAGGCGGACTCTCAAGCACTGCGCCACCAGGGAAGCCCCAGGCCCTCCCAGAATTGACTGCAGCCTCAGCAGCAGTAGAGACATGGTGTAGCAGAGCCATTAGAGCACAGTCATTGGACCTACAGTGGGTTCAAATCCCAGCTGCGTAGCTCACTAGATGTGTGACTACTTAATCTGTGCCTTGGTTTCTTCTTCATCTATAAAGTGAGTGTTATAGTACTTAACTGATAGGATTACTGTGAGGATAACAAATAGAGTATATATAGGGCACTTGGAGCAGAGTCCAACACATGACATGTGCTGGGTGAATGCTGTCCTTAATGCTGATACAGGTTTTCACTGAGCCACACGGTGAAAGGCAGCATCTTCTCGATTTCACTGTTTAGAAATCTAAATGGAAGAAAATTCCCTCAAAGAACAGTAAAGGTGCTTGCTTTTGTACTTCTACCCCCAAAAAACTGCCCAAATCTAATTTTCATGGCTTATCTTCAATAGATGTATTAATAGTCACTTTTTTGTGGTGCCCTGCATTCTCCAAATTACTTTAAAATATACATATAAAATTGCTTATAACTGATTTCACACTTCAGTTGCAGTATTTATGAAATAAATTCCATTCTTTGGAGAACGTGAGGAGAACGTTTCTGTGTTCTTCCCTGGGATGTAAAATATAGATCAAAAGACAACTGTAAGTTAAAAGATACTGTAAATTAGAATCCAAAATTCATTTGAAATTAATGTTTCATTTCATATCTTATGTTTGATATTTAGGGAAAAAAGCTTTCCTTTTTTTTGGTGAGAAGGGGAAGGGAAGCACATCCTGTTATCTTTTAAGTACTTGCTAAAATTTTTTCTTAAAATAGAGGTTGGACAAAACAAACAAACAAAAAAATCAATGAGGGCTTCCCTGGTGGCGCAGTGGTTGAGAGTCCGCCTGCCGATGCAGGCGACACGGGTTCGTGCCCCGGTCCGGGAAGATCCCACATGCTGTGGAGTGGCTGGGCCCGTGAGCCATGGCCGCTGGGCCTGAGCGTCTGGAGCCTGTGCTCCGCAACGGGAGAGGCCACAACAGTGAGAGGCCCGCGTACCGCAAAAAAAGACAAAAAAAAATAAAATAAAATAAAAATAGAGGTTGAGATCTATGTAGAAAACAAACTTATGGTTACTGGGGCTAAGCGGGGGAAGGGATAAATTGGGAGATGGCTGACGTATACACATTACTGTATATAAAATAGATAACTATTAAGGACCTACTGTATAGCACAGGGAACTCTACTCAATACTCTGTAATGGCCTATATGGGGAAAGA